CAACTTACAGTAGATCTCCGAGATAGGGAGTCAGAGGTCACTTACACAAGGATATGGTAACAACTTATAGTAGATCTCCGAGATAGGGAGACAGAGGTCACTTATACAAGGTTATTGTAACAACTTACAGTAGATCTCCGAGATAGGGAGTCAGAGGTCACTTATACAAGGATATGGTAACAACCTATAGTAGATCTCCGAGATAGGGAGACAGAGGTCACTTATACAAGGTTATTGTAACAACTTACAGTAGATCTCCGAGATAGGGAGACAGAGGTCACTTATACAAGGTTATGGTAACAACTTAAAGTAGATCTCCGAGATATGGAGACAGAGGTCACTTATACAAGGTTAGTGTAACAACCTATAGTAGATCTCCGAGATAGGGAGTCAGGGGTCACTTATACAAGGTTATGGTAACAACTTACAGTAGATCTCCAAGACAGAGAGACAGAGGTCATTCAAAATAACGTTATGGCAACAACGTATAGCTGATCTCCAATTATAGTGTCTGTTTAGATAGGCCTAGGGTGCAACACTTTTCAAAAACAAACCACTCTCCAACCCACTCGTATGTGCCTATTGGGTGTATACAGGGTATATGTGAACTGCTTCAGTAGTTTGGGTGGATGTGGTTAGTGTCGTCTGCTGACATCCACCGGCACACACAGCTTAGTTGTTTTGGATTGCACTAGCTTATTTAAGGAAACTGGATTGTTTTCAGCAAACTGTCATTGCCATGGAAAGCAGGTCACTGACTTAATAGTTTGTTTAGCATGGCACCTTGATACATAAGTAATCGTTTACATTGTCGCGTTGCTGCAATGACGACCTTTCGAAAGCGTGTAACCCCAAACGGAGGACAACGTACGGCAGGTTATACAAAGAGGGGTCGCTGAACGCACAGAACAAGTTCGGCAGCAGCTATGCAAAAAATGACCCAAAACAAACAACATACGAGGGGTGTATGAAATGTTCTGAGCCTAACTACGAACGGTTTTGTAGTACATCCTTAACATTCTGCATTATTCATAATTGCTTCGCGTACATTCTCCACTTGAACTAAAATCACAGCCAGCCAGCATATTCATACAGGTTAAAAAGTAATCTCATATGTTAACAAAAATGGACCAAATCGGACCAAGTCATGAAATATCTGGATATATAACACGAGCGGCCATCTTGACGGACAGCGTGTAGACTGCAGGGGTGATGCTGCCTCCTTTGCCATTGTGATGGGGTTCCGCACCGGAGTCCAGGAAGGAAAAAGAGGTAATCTCGAAGATGGTCCAGGAAAAGCGCCCACTGACACCAGTAAGGAAAAAATAGAAAATCATGATTTGACGAAAACACACTAAACGTGTGGTGATCCATCGGGACTATATATCTGTAAACAAGCCTGCGATGCTTGGTGATCCACCGGGACTATATATCTGTAAACAAGCCTGCGATGCTTGGTGATCCACCGAGACTATATATCTGTAAACAAGCCTGCGATGCTTGGGGATCCACCGGGACTATATATCTGTAAACAAGCCTGCGATTCTTGGTGATCCACCGGGACTATATATCTGTAAACAAGCCTGCGATGCTTGATAGCGGCGACAGAAGAGTGTGGACGTCAGGGGACAGTAAGGCTCAGAACTGCTCAGCTTGTCGCTGCACTTACAGTAGCACCATGTTTGTGGTAGCATACAGATACAGGTGTAGTAGTAAATTACGTTGAGTGTATAACAGAGAATGTTTGTACACCTGAGGCTCTCGTAGCTTGTAGACTGACATGTATTTCTGTGTGATGTAACGGAGGCATGCAGTTTGCCTTGCGTTCCTTTGTGATGAAAGGGTGGCATGCCGCCTGCCTTGTGTTTCTGTGTGATGAAACGGTGGCATGCCGCCTGCCTTGTGTTTCTATGTGATGAAAGGGTGGCGTGCAGACTGACCTGTGTTTCTATGTGATGAAAGGGTGGCGTGCAGACTGACCTGTGTTTCTGTGTGATGAAACGGTGGCATGCAGACTGCCTTGTGTTTCTTTGTGATGAAACGGTGGCATGCCGCCTGCCTTGTGTTTCTGTGTGATGAAACGGTGGCATGCCGCCTGCCTTGTGTTTTTCTGTGACGTAACGATGTCATGCAGACTGTCTTGTGTTTCTATGTGATGAAAGGGTGGCGTGCAGACTGACCTGTGTTTCTGTGTGATGAAACGGTGGCGTGTAGACTGACTTGTGTTTCTAAGTGACGTAATGACAACTGAATTGTATGAGTAAATATCATGAACCCACTTCTTTCTGAAGAATTAATGTATCAACGTTGCACAATTCAAAAGTAACATTTATGTTTTGGGAAAAGAGTGCTGTATCCTTTTCATATTACATGATAGAGAAAATTGCTGCCGCGTATGGGATGTAGGAATATTACGGGGGAAGGTTGACAGGTGTCACATTCGACAAAATAATTTTCGCGGCGGAAGGGTAAATATGTGCTTCTACACATATTTCTCAACATTGCTGTGTCTGGGAGAGCTTCAGATTACGTCCGGGGCAGAGTGCATCATGTGCATTTGAAAAACGGGACAGGAAATAGGCCATAGACTGTTCGTCAACGAGATGTGACGTATACTGGGCAGGACGCAAAAGATCAGTACACACTGGACGCCACACATCAGTACACAGATGACTCGACACATCCGTACACAGATAAATTGACACATCAGTAAACACAGGACTCGACACATCAGTACACAGATGACTCGACACATCAGTACACAGGACTCGACACATCAGTACACAGATGACTCGACACATCAGTACACAGATGGCTCGACACATCAGTACACACATTACTTGATACATCGCAGTACACAGGACTCGACACACAGATGACTCGACACATCAGTACACACATTACTTGATACATCAGTACACAGGACTCGACACATCAGTACACTAAGTACTCGACACATAAGCATGCTTCAGTACGTCTATATACATAACCAATAGCTTCCTGCTTCTGTCCATCCTGAGGAAAGTAACTGATCTCTTGCACCCTCTCCACGTCTGGTTCCCGTACACTATGGTGTGGGCTGCGTGGGGAACAACGCGACTAACTCAGTGCCTTTCATCAGAGACGGTGTCTGGGGTTGAATAACACGTAGGGATATATACTTCCCCAGAGACTAGTTTTGAGCAGTACATATTCTGCAGGGCCATCGTATCCAGTGCTATACACCAATAGGTGTAAGTGACACCACAGTCCAGCCGAAGGTATCGGAACCAACCCCAGGCCTTCAGACTCAAAACGGATCGCTGTTATACATATAGCATTAGAGTTTGTGCTTGTCATCTATACATGTCTATTTTGGAATTCCTATTCAAGCGGAACACGGATAGACGCTATATGACCACATATGTAAGGGAACACAACCCATCTATGTAATAACTTCAACACGTCGTAGACAGGGATGACGATCCTTTGAAACGAATTCTTTACATCATATATAATCCCAGTAAGACATAACTTATTAAACTCTTAAGGCCAGGTAAGTTGTGGGAATACAATTCTGGACGCGGGTATGGAAGATGCCCCTGCGATCGCTATATGTGATCTGAGACTATTTTAGTACATTGTGTTTTGTCCAACGATTAACTGAACAGGGCTCGTGGTTTAAACACTCACTGCAGCCTGTTCGGCTGTGGAACATGTTACGATCTAATAGAGCGGCTCTCTGTCCCTGCGCCGTAAGTCGTCTTCATGGTATGTTGGTATGTGACACGTCCCATTTCAAGGGTGTACCGTGAATTATTATTCAAATTGCGTGACAAATTGATCTAAGAGTGGATAAATTGATAATCACCTGGTCCCAACAGAGGTATCGGGACACACATCTGATATATGTGTAAGTGCTAGCTAGGTACGTGTAAGGTAATTGATTTTTAAAGTGTCATAATTTGATTTGAGTATTAAAATGTTTAAAAGATAGTAAGTTAGCTTTTCTGGTTGGTGACATATCCCAAACTGATAGAGAGAGATATGACTGTGGTATCTGATGAAACTCTCCACCGCGTCAGGTGGATATATTCAGAGTCACAAGTCATGCATGACGCGTTGGAAATAAGCTCTATGTAACTGTTATTAACTCGCCTTTAAAAACAGTTTAGAATATAATATATCACTTGTTACTTATATGCAAGAGGAAATTTCAGAATTATTTAGAGATAAGTAAATACAGAACTCCAAATGGAAGACTGATCTACGGAGAGGCTAACAGTTGTCATCTCGTTGCTTATTTACAAGTACTATTACAGAACAGCCAAGTAGTAGAAGGACGATCCTGTCAGCAATACGTAATACTAAAATACGTATTGTCATATTGTTAACTAACACATAAAGAACGCGAGTGAGAGAGAGAGTGTGTGTGTGTGTGAGAGAGAGAGAGAGTGTGTGTGTGAGGGAGAGAGAGAGAGTGTGTGTGTGTGTGTGTGTGTGTGTGAGTGTGTGAGAGTATAAGCATCAGAATTCTCGACAAGGAACAATACGCTGCAGTAGCTAAGGGTTGCTGAACTCGTCCCTGCTACCCGTGGTGGAATGCAATGTCGGTATTTAGGTTGTTGTACGTGGAACTGCGACACGGAGTCAGCTAGTAGCCTTGCCGCCCTTTTAAGAACTGCACTTCATTGAGTAGCAGACGACAGGGGGGTATATTCCCGCCACCACGGAACAATACACAGAACACCACAAACAGGCTTAGCTATGTAGCAGAAAAAACGTTCCTTCCTCGCTCGCTCGTGCTAGCGCATCATATTCTCTTTACTGCTTCGTAGAGTATTCCCAGGATTGATGAATGTGAGCTGGTTTTATTACGCAACAAAGACCCTTTTGATCTTGTTTGGGATGTTCAAACAAATTGAAAAAAAGAACGACTCTCCACGGGATTAACATATAACGGTTCATTATTGCGGATTTAATTCCCTGGCGATGAAATGTAGGAAGGAAACAGAGCTTACCTGTACTTGGCTGTCATGGTGTCCGCGATACTGTGGAATGATGTTGACAAGTTTTTTCCGCTATGACATTTATATCAATGTATCCGGGCGCCGAATTATGCCGTCGTCAGCTCGTGTCAGACTTAAATTGAAATGCATCAAACAAATCCAGCACGGAAAACCCACGCCGAGTCACCTCGGGTGTCCCCTCACAATTTCAAGTTCCTCTCTTCCAGTAAAAAAGGTTGTCGTCTGCTCGCTCAGACAATTCACAGACGACTGGTGAGGCCTCCCAGATCACTGCTGCAGAAAAGGTATTCCAGGTGAGGTTGCGAAGAACAGCTGAGGCAGTAAATGAATGATGGAAATTACAGAACAATTACGGAAGTATTCCGACTCCAACCTCCAAGGCCGCGAGATTAGAAGTGCGACAGCTCAGACTGAGTTAGTTGTCCTACACACTCTGTTGTCAACAGGACACGTGGGTAGGAGCGGCGAGTTCTCGGTCCGCCCCGGGTCTACCCCGTCAGCCAGTCACGATAATTCAGTACTGGAGATCAATAATATCGATTCGTGGCTTAATCAATCACTGGCTGACCTCCCTTGACCCAGAGAGACTCCTGCGTCTGGACATAGGGTGGCTTATGGACCAATGAAACTTACACGGCTCCCGCCCTCCACTAATGCAATACACGAACGGCCGGCCAAGGCTGTACAACAATCCCTTTCAATTTCTCTATTAACAGTCGGCCAGAACACTCGCTGTTGTTTTTACACCATATAGGTAACGGCCACTTGAACCTTGTTCTGTCCCTTGTGCTGTGGTGTTTCCAACTTGTGATGGACTTGATATTATAGCTGTACACACATTCCACTGACCTGGTAATCCAATTAGGCTATTTGTCCTCCGCTGCTTGGACTGAAAGAGGGAAATCATTGATGCATAGGTGATTAACAGGGTACCCCTAGATTATAGGGGAAGGTGTCTGCCAGTATCAACACCACTGCAACTATCGACAGCTACAGCTGGCTTGTATGTATTTGTATCGTAGCTCTATCCAGCATAATAATAACACAACGCATCCCCAAAAAACGTTGGTGTAATCATATTCCAAAACTCAGACTGACTATCCGTTCGAGGTCTGCGCTGGCAGGCATCTCACATTGGACTTAGTTTTTTCTCTCCCCGAACGACACTGCGAACCAATGAGATCCGAGACCCTCGTGAAATGTGATGACTTCAGCAGGGTTGGTTTAGATAAAGAATCCTTTATGTTTTAATTGTCGATATTTTTACATTACGAATCATATATACCAAGCCGTATAACCTGTGTCAGCTTCACAGCGCGATTTACACAGCCGTTGGCTTTTGGCTTTACTTATATGATACGCCTGAGGTTTCCCTACTTTTCTCTCACGCTCGGTTTTATAGCATAATTGTATATTCATTCACAATCGCCTGACCTCTCAAATAGCTTCTCTGACGTAGGGGGAAGATAATCTAAGCGGAAACAAGGCAAATACAGTTGTTAAACACTACAAAACTCTATATGAATGTTCCTCACATCTGCACCAACACTTGTCTCGCATAACTGCGAAAGTTTCTATGCAACCCTTTGTATCAATTTCACTCTTTTTGCGAGAATGAATCTACTGAGCGGCACATAAAGGACGGCCACATGTAGGGGTTGGGTGCATCGTCTTGTGAGAATCCTTTACCCTGAGTCCCAGTTCTCCACGTGTATTATCTATGTGGTTGTCAGTGGTGTGTTTGCCGTGTCGCCTATTGTGTGTACATGTATATGCATAGCTACATCAGTCATGCACTGCTACTGTTACTCCCCTCTGCGGTGGAGTACATAGTGGGTGAAGCGTTCGCCCGTTACGCCCAAGGCCCGGGTTCGAGTCCCTACATAGACTGAGTCTGAGTTTTGACTTAAGTTAGACTTTTTACTCAAATTTGAGAAAACACAGGAAAATGCATTTCCCAGAATGGACTGAAATCGATATGAAACTCCAACATAGTGGACAGTTTGGGTTTTGTGGATAGATTACTTAAGTTGTTTTCCCTTTTTTAATTTTAAAAATGCAGTTGAGATTCACAAATTCAGCTGTTTCAACTTGTCAAACTCAGTTGAAATTTGAGTAAAAACTTAAGTTTGTTTCGAGAAATCGGGGCCAGAATAAAGCAGATTCTGAATTACCGGAACCAAGCTTCCGAGTATTTTACTCCCTTTCCAATCGTATAAGTATTGCGGGCTGGCTGCCATGGCTAGTTGTACCCACGGACACCAGTCTTAGGCTAACACTGTTATAGTAACTGATATATACACGCGGGATTGGTCACCCATTGTTATCTAAAACACTTGGGTACTCTTGCCTTTCAGTCACCTTCACTTTCACTGTTCACATCATACGTGTGGAACCGGGTCATGCCCTGGCTCAGTGCCGTATATCTGGGATATGTTACCGACAAGTATTACTTATTTCCAACCTGTCCACACTTTGTATCACATGTCTCGGAGACATGGTATCGTCGCATATCACGTTTCTCGACGAAACCCGTCGATTGAAAACCTTAATGTGTTTGACTGGATTCATTCCGAATCGAGATGAACCCTGAGGAAAATCAACCTGGCACAACAGCAATGTGTATTTGTGGTGAAAAATGTGACAATGCTTGTAAACACGCTGGCTTGTTATTTTTTTGCGAAACGAAGACCAAATCTGAAAGAAGCAATAGACAGAAAAGTCCAGACTCTCGGAACTACGTACAGCTTTGTTGATTTTCACCAACCTTTATATTAAGACCTCCTTTAGGACGAACTCTGTTACCTCGAAAACACTCTACGTGTCATAGTTCCACCCGAAGACAGATATATTTCTCAGTTTAATTTTCATAAACAAAAACGAGGAGTCCATTTCAGATTTCGAGGACGGGCAACGAAGCTTGAGAAGTCCGACCAGTGCCCCCGTGTCCCTCCAGCCCACTCGCATAACACCATCTTCTCGGCCATCTGGTAGATTCCCCCAGCTCTGTCTTCCGTCATCATTGAATGTCACAGATCCGTGCCTCTTATTTCCTCCTCCCGCTTAATATATCCGGAATAATATTTGCCTTAATTGAACTTGACGTTCTCGGCAGAGATTACAAAGGTTGATAAGGGAGCTGTGTTAGCGTGACGGGATGTCCTCAAATGTTCCAAGAGTGGTTCTCGTCAGGTATTGTTTTCTATGGCTGGATGCTGTTTGGTTTATACATGTCAGGGGCATCACGCACGAAGGGATTTGGGCTTAACGGCTTTCTTAGACGTATCAGATTAATAGAAACACTCGTTGAGCTAATAGGTGAGGTGAGGTGAAATTTGGTTTAACGTCGTGCTTGAGAATATTTCACTCATATGACGACGTGCATGCGTGTGTATGTGTATGTGCGGCTGCTTGTAGCTGGTTTTATAGTGCTAGCCCACTGAGATACCACGCCGCAGTGATGCATGAATACCCCACTCAGACACATTAAACTGACTCCGAGCCGACCAGTCCTTGTTGTACCCATTAATACCGAGCGCCAGGCAGGGACCAACTAGTACCATATTTTAACGTCTTATGGTATGACGCGGTCGGGGATCGAACCCGCGACCTTCCGCTCTCCGGGCGGACGCTCTAACCACTACACCACGGAGGCGGTCTCGTTGAGCTAATAGGCTTTATGGAATGTAGCACTATTATGTATACAGCACTATTATGTATACATTAACTGGGTATATTGGTGTATTGTCAATGTCCATCACCAGATGATATTGTCACATACAGGATGCGTTTTATGGTTCCTCGTCGTGCGGATTGTCCGGGTTTCAGTCTGCAACTGTGATATGGATGGAAGTCTAAGACTTCTATCACTCTCGCTATTAATGCACCTAAGGGGCTCATTAAAGTTATGTGGTGTATTTAGTAGGTGTGTTTTTGAAGAATTTGCGTTGATTCGCAACATAGGAGAACAATATAAAAGATTATAACTCGAATTGTACACATGACAAGTGTTTCAACATTACCCCTCCATGTGATGATCTTCATCTGTCGAAGTAAACGCAAATTCTCTGATCCGTATCTGATTATAATTTCAACAACATATTCCATTCCACGTGCAGGGTTCGAGACGTTCATCGAATGTTTGTGTCAACAATGTATATTCTGTATCTTTCCAGAATCATCATGAGCTAGTTGTATGTTGAAGCAGAGCAGTTCAGTCTGACAATGCACGTGTAGGTTGGGAGTGTTTTGTGATGAGTTGGTACACTGTATACGTAACTAGTCATTCCAGTTGGACTGACTGACTGACTGAGTTTTGGTTTTACGCCGCTTTTAGCAATATTCCAGCAACATCACGGCGGGGACAACAGAAATGGGCTTCACACATTGTGCCCATGTGGGGATTCGAACCCGGGTCTTCGGCGTGACGAGCCAACGCTTTAACCACCGCCCCTCATTCCAGTTGGACTTCACATTGGGACACCATCTGTGACCTGATGGCGAAGAATAGTGTTTATTGGCGACATAATATTCCCTGAGGTATCTATATTAGTGCCCTGGCACTTAGACTAACATCTAGTCTCTGAAATGAATATATTTTACAGATAAAACAGTTCCTAAATTATAATAATAAAATATAATAAACAGAGGCCCAGAGTCTTTCTTCATTTTCAGAAACCGTGGCATGGAAATTTAGACTTGCCACATAATGTAGACTAGCATGGGCTTTCTTCGATGTATGTTTCATGGTCTGTCTGACAGACTAGCCGACACTAAATATTCAGTTTTTGTCTGGTGGAATATTGATATCAGCTAGTTCTAATTCCCTTGTGGCATATCAGAATGTCGAAGGAATGTTAACATTCTCATCTCCAACTGCCAGGTGCTAACAGATCCTTTGATGGACTGATTACTGTGCTGTAGTCCCAGATACGTGTTCTGGGTCGGTCTACATGGTGTTAACATGGTGGAGAAACAAGGCTGCCGAGCCGCCGTATCGGAGCCCAATCAAGTTGTCAAGGCGTGTTGCCACTGCAGGCTGTTGTAATGATACCTACTTTCACCACCATGTCTGCTTGTGTTTATATGTATCAGCAAATTGCGAAATGTTTCAATTTTAAAGAGTTACTTATCATTTCTACATCTGAAGTTTTCAAATGACTTTTGATAACTGTTTTTTTACAACTTCAATCTGATCAGCTGAAAATTACACCACAACCGATTTTCATTGGTAGATGTTCCTTTACACAGCAGCCCGGCATCATGTGTTTCAGCTAGTCGACGCTAGCTGTAGTCCCAACGCATCCCTTGAAGTTACTTTTCTCCTACGTCCTCACATGAATTAGCAGCTGATTGGTGTAAACTTTCTTCACTACAGTTCACACACAATGTCAGTTATCTTAGGTTTAAGCGTTGTTGTAATGCGTTCCAAGTCATCAGTAGGCAATAAAACAATAATTTATACAGAACCGGGTGTGTCAATTAGTGGATGTTAGAGTTTTATTCTTTATCAAATATCAACAAACCAATCGTCATGGAATTCCCCTCCCATTTCTCCGTCTCATGCTCTCTCTCAGCTTTCTGTGCTGTGTATTTCTCCATGACCCTCATCTCCAACACCAGGGTGGCTCATCACACTGTGGACCACCACGTGGGAATGTGGGCGGGGCCCGGTAGTAATGCCAATACCTTCATAAATGCCAGGTACTAGTGTGTTGTCCCGACAAGCAGGTTACACTGGACAGGGATTTATTGAGAAGCACGCAGATCAGTCCTCCCTGCTGCCGTAAAACCTTCATGTTGAGTTCCCCTCGTCTCGAGATTATGTTCCTACAATGGTATATTGGATCCGCTCGCCTGATAGTGGTACGGGTGATGGTACTGTAGAGGTGTACCTGCTGCGTGTTGGGACGCAGAATGTATGCAGGCTCGGGGTGTTCCGCCGCACAGGGAGTGTGGATAAATGTGAAGATGTGTAGAGGCAGACCCGCATTCCACCAGGGTCGTGAACTAGGGAAAGGAGAGTTTAGTCCCTCGCATTGAAGGGGCATCTTTTGATGGTTTTCATTTTAAAGATGATATTTTTGGTAACAATTTTCCCGACCACCTGACGTGTGTCGTGTTAGTCACGATGACTTTAATGAGCATGATGTAGATTTCAAGATGAGGAACAGGAATGAGTGAGTGAGTTTAGTTTTACGCCGCACTCAGCAAAATTCCAGCTATATGGCGGCGGTCTGTAAATAATCGAGTCTGGACCAGACAATCTAGTTATCAACAGCATGTGCATCGATCTGTGCAATTGGGAACC